TGAATGAACATATTGAATACAAGTTTGTTGATATTCTTGTAGACGAAATTCAAATATCTAAAGTTTTCGTTCAAATACAATGAAAAGAAGATCCTGATAGGTAAATAGATTTATAAACATAAAACACACACACACACTGCTGATATTAGAAAATGCTTTTGACAAAAGAGAATTATAAAAATATGATTTGCTATATCAATGTACATTTTTATCCATTTTCTAAAAGCTACAATGAAATACGATTGAGTATTATAAAATGACAACAGAAATCTTACAAATGAAAAATCCGTTGTATGCAATTATGACGTCATAAAACGATACTGGAGATGGTATTTTGAAATTGTTGCACACAGACGTATATAGCAAAAACCTAAGCACAGTTTCGTGCAACCGTGTACACGCAAATCAGATGAACACTTCTAAAAAGGAAATTATGAAAAACATCTATGCGTTTCATTGTCATCATTATCTCTATGATTTAAAGTATGCGTTAATTAATTACAGTAATCAGCATAACACAAGCACAAGGTTATTTTTATCCCGTTCTGAACGTCTCTTTGATATAAGAATCCAGCTTTCTTTAACTGAGATTTCACATAAACATAAAAGATACTGAGACACATCCATATAAACGCAGACACCATCAGAGAACCATAAGCAGGAGAGGCTAAACACAACCAGTTTACAAAGCGTGTCCGAAAGTTAATCACAGGACGCGGAGACTGAGGACGAAAATTCGGACCAGGAGGAGCGTCTTGGATGGGGCGCGAGTGACGTCGCAGCTGGAAAGGGAAAGTGCCAAGGCGTCTGGTTAGTCTCCGGCACTGTGTGGGTGACACTCGTGGTCTTGCCACTTGACGACGGAAGGGGATACTCCGAGTCCGAGTTGCGTCGGACTCCTAAAGATGAACTCGTGCGGAGTGGAAGCTGCGTGGAGTCCGAGTTGTAGCAAAGTGTCAGATTTAGACGCAGGACGTCGGCGTTTTGGTTATCCGAGGACGAGGTGGCGCAGCAGCCAACGTAAATGGGTGCTCCCTTGACTTTCGACGACGATTCCGAGGGCGAGGTAATCTCCCTGGGTCGTGGCGTTTCGTGGCTGGACAGATGGGCCTCGAGGCAAATATCCTTGTATTCTTGCCCCTCTGACGGGGTGTGTTCGCCCTTCGCGTCTCGGCGGTTGGATTCGGGGCTTGGCGGAGTGGGCGTCCGTCCAAGTTCCAGCTTGAAAAGGGACAGGCGACCTCTAGAGCAGGGACTTGCGCTGACGTCGGTGGCTCTCTCTCCTGGAGAAGAGGACCTCGCCTGGCTCACTTTCGCGCTGAGGGTGAGGTGCCGACCAGGGTTCAGGTCCTTCTCGGGAGACACTACTCCGTTGGAGGACGGCGCGTCTTTGGCCAAAGGATCCTTGAAGAAATAGCTGTTATTGCCTAAGGATCTCCTTTGGCAAAATCCGTAGGCGGAAGCGCGGCGGTCGATCTTCTCACGAATAAGAACCACAGAGCCGTTCTGCGAGCCGTTGTGGACGTGGAGAGGAGGCAGGTGGGCGTGGCTGACGTTGCACTGCGCCGCGCTACCCCAGCTGCGGCTCGAGGAGTACCGGAGGACGTCCGTGTCTGTTGCTGGGGGAACGCGACCGTTTAGTGACCAAGATTAATAAATAAGGATTCATTTCCATTCCAAACAGAAATATTCAAATAAATAAGGGTCATATTTCATCTTAGATATAAATATTCAAATAAAAAATAAAGAAATATTCAAATAAATAAAACAGGATACTTCTTCCTGTTGTGAAATGAGTGCATCTGTTTACGTTAGCGCTAGTCTCATTTTATGAAAAGAAGAAGAAAATGACCCGTACATTTATAGAAATAACCTGAATATTTGGAGAAAAAAACTTTAAGATATCTTGATACGACATAGTAAACAAAAAACAACAACAAAAAACACTCTCCCAGTTATAATTACGAATCACCAACAAACTAACGCCCTTCCATACTCCAAAGTCAACATTAAACTAAATCTAAGAAAAAAAAAATATGAATAATAGCTAAGAAACCAAAGAACTCTAATATGCTGACCCGAATCTTGCCTGTTGCGGGCCATGCGGAAGACGGTGCGTAACGTCGCCACCTGGCTCTGGAACTTCGACGTCGAGAAAGTGTACAGAATCGGGTTTATCGCCGAGTTGATGGGCAGGACGAGGACCACGAGCCAGGCGTACACTCCGGCTGGTAGGGGGAGGAGGAGGGGCGTGAAAGAGAGGGCGGGTTAGGGAGTGGGTGATTTTATTCTTTGTATGGTCAGGTCTGGGGAGTTTGTCGTGAGAAAGGGAGTTTTAGATAACGCACATATCATTTTTATTTACATTTATCATATTTTACACATTTTCTTATATTCATATATATATTACATTTAAAATTTTGTCTACTACCCAACGGCAAGGCCAAAGGAGCGAAATAATTTTAAAAAACACCTTATACACAAAATGTAATTCAAAATAGATCGATAAAAAATAGATAAAAGACCACTATGGATTAAACCCTTGTTTTGTTATTCAGTATTTTTAAAATTTACATCCAGCTCATTTCCCTGTTTCTTCATTACTTAAGCATTCTTTTCCCATTTTATATCTACCCCTCCTCGTCTTTTGCTTTTGTTCATCAGTTTATCTTCCCCTTCTCCTCTTTTTCTTTTGCTCAACAGTTTACCTTACTTCCTTTTCTTTCGCCCACCCAATTTATCTCCACCTTCTCTTCTTTTTCTTTTATTCATCAATTCATCTCCCCCTTCTCCTCTTTTTCCTTAGTTCATCAATCTCCCTTCCTTCCTTTTCCTTCACCCACCCAATATACCTCAATTCCTTTTTTTCTTCTTTTTTTCTGTTTTTCTTTCCCCCACCAATGCCTACCACAACGTCACTCACAATGGACCTCGATATTAGCCAGCGCCGCCGCCTTCACGCACGCAATGGGCAGCCAGCACACGCAGTTGGTGACGACGATGAAGAAGAAGCGGAGCGCGAACTTGGACTCGCCGCCCGAGAGAGGTGTCGAGGTCCGGGTCACCATGATGTTGAAGAAGAGGCCGGCGTAGGCGCCCAGGATCACGGTCATGCTGTGAGGAGGGAGAGGAGGAGAGGAGGAGGAAGGAGGAGAGGAGGAGGAGGAGGAGGAGGAGGAGGAGGAGGAGGAGGAGGAGGGGGAGGGGGAGGGAGGAGGAGGAGGAGGAGGAGGAGGAGGAGGAGGAGGAGGAGGAGGAGGAGGAGGAGGGGGAGGAGGGGAGGGGAGGGGGAGGAGGGGAAGGAGAGGAGAGGGAGGAAGGAGAGGAGGAGGAGGAGGAGAGGTGGAGGAAGAGGGGGGAGGAGGAAGAGAGGAGGGAGAGGAGGAGGAGGAGGAAGGAGGGAGGAGGAGGGGAGGAGGAAGAGGTGGAGGAGGAGGGAGGAGGAGAGGAGGAGGAGGAGGAGGAGGAGGAGGAGGAGGAGGAGGAGAGGAGGAGGAGAGGGGGGAGGAGGGGAGGGGGAGGAGGGAAAGAAGGGAGAGGAGGAGGAGGAGGAAGGAGGAGGAAGGAAGGAGGAGGAAGGAGGAGAGGAGGAGGGGGAGGAGGAAGAGGAGGAGGGAGAGGAGGAGGAGGAGGAGGAGAGGAGGAGAGGAGGAGGAGGAGGAAGAGGTGGGAGGAAGGAGGGGGAGGAGGGAGAGGAGCGGCGAGGAGGAGGAGGAGGAGAAGGAGGAGCGAAGAGGAGGGAGGGAGTGCGGGAGGGAGGGGAGGAGCGAGGAGGAGGAGGAGGAGGAGGAGCGAGGAGGAGGAGGGGGAGGGAGAGGTGAGGTTTGGAGGAGGAGGAGGAAAGGTGGAGGGAGGAGGAAGAGGAGGAGGAGGGGGAGGAGGGGGAGGTGGAGGAGAGGTGGGAGGGGGAGGAGGAGGAGGAGGAGTTGGAGGAGGAGGAGGTGGAGGAAGGAGGGGGGAGGAGAGGGAGAAGGGAGGAGGAGAGAGGAGGAGAGAGGAGGTGGAGGAAGAGGGAGAAAGAAGAAGAGAAGGGTGAGGGAAGGATGGAAAAGGAAGAATGTGAGAGTGAATAGGAAGGTAGAGCACGAGGAGGTGGAGGAAATTGTTTACGTTTAATTTTTTAATTCCACTTTCTCTTCACTATCTCTTATTCATGTATTTATTAATTTCATTACCACATCTTTCGACCAACCCGTCCAATCATTATTTCTCAACAATCCTCGCTCCTATCATCGCTACTATTGCAAGTCAATTCTACGTTATTTTTGTCATCTAACTGCTTATCTCGACATAAACATTCCTTTTTTGAGATATACAAATTTGTATACATGCAGATGGAGTAAAGATCATTAGCACAAATCGTATATATATAAGAATAAGTTTCATTCAGAAACTATGGTATCAGTAAACGCTAATGAATTACTACAGTGTAACTAGTATGCACGCAGATATAAGTTACTTGCACACGCATCGTAACTAAAATGGTACACGCATTATCCCAGTGTGACCGCACCTTAAAACCCACATTAGTATATCAGTAAAAGTATAAGTATAAGTCATACCCGAATATGCTAATTCCACCCTAATCCCTGATATTACGCATCGTACCTGACCAATACCAAAGTTTCCCTGACATGAATCGCACCTGAGAATTAATTAAATCGCACCAAACTAATCAGTCGTACCTGAGCGTGTTGATACCCAAGAAAATGAAAGTCGAATATTGCCATCCAGCGAGGTAAGGTTCGGTCACGTGCAGAGGAATACACATGGCACTGCTCTCGTAGAAGCTTTTGATCCAGATCGCTGCGGGAAAACGAAAAAAATAAGAAAAATTGTGTGGATAAAATAGTGAAAAAAGATCTTTGATTGGTGAGCGAGTACTTTGGTTATCGATCAGATATTGTTCATGAAAAATTGATAATTTAGGAGAGAGCCTTTTGGTAAATTATGAAACATCTTTTAAGATTACTGTGTTGTGTAAATCGTTTTATATTTCTACTTAGGAGAAGAGAGAGAGGAGAGAGAGGGAGAGAGAGAGAGAGAGAGAGAGAGAGAGAGAGAAGAGAGAGAGAGAGAGAGAGAGAGAGAGAGAGAGAGAGAGAGAGAGAGAGAGAGAGAGAGAGAGAGAGAGAAGAGAGAGAGAGAAGAGAAGAAAGAGAGAAAGAGAGAAAGAGAGAGAAGAGAGAAGAGAGAAAGAGAGAAAGAGAGAAAGAGAGAAAGAGAGAAGAGAGAAGAAGAGAGAGAGAAGAGAGAGAGAGGACGAAAGAGAAAGAAAGAAACAGACAGACAGTTAGACAAACAAAACACAACCAAAAGAAAGACAAAGATAGAAAACAAATCCTCCCCCTTCCCCCTCCCCCACCCAAAAAAAAACTCACCAGGAAAGACAGCCAAGAAAATCGACGTCAGCCATATGAAGAACAGACAGACTCTCGCCGATCTCTCCGACAGCGTGCGGGCTTCGAGGGGCTGACGGATGAACAAGTACCGCTCCAGGGACATGAAGGTCAGGATGAACACTGACGTCTGGAAGAGGAGGAAGGAGGGAGGAGGAGAAGGAGGAAGGAGAAGGAGGAGGAGGAGGAAGGGGTGAGGATGAGCATGATTGATTATGATGATGAGGAGGAGGAGGAAGAGAGGGAATGAGGATGAGCATGAGGAGAGGAGGCGATGATGAGGATGAGAGGAGAGGAAGAGGAAGGATGAGGTCAGGTTTTTCGATTTATGGAGACAATTTTTATGTGTTCAGGGGCTTAAGTGTTAAGGAAACTTTATGTGTCAAGGAAACTATGTGTTAGGAAACCTAATGTGTCAAAGAGATTTTATAGAAATCAAGATACTGATGCTGTAGCTTTTATACACATACATACATACATACATACATACACACACACACACACACAACACACACCACACCACACACCAACACACACAATACATATATATATTATATATATATATATATATATATATAATATATATATATATATATATATATTATATATATATATATATATATTATATATATTATATATTATATATATATATATATATATATATATATATATATATATACATATACATATACATATATATACATATACATATACATATACATATACATATACATATACATATACATATACATATACATATACATATACATATACATATACATATACATATACACACACACAACACACACACACACACACACACACACCACACACACACACACACACACACACACACACAACACACACACACACACACACACCACACACACACTATATATATAATAAATAAATATATATAATAATATATATATGTGTGTGTGTGTGTGTGTGTGTGTGTGTGTGTGTGTGTGTGTGTGTGTGTGTGTGTGTTGTGTGTGTGTGGTGTGTGTGGTGGTGTGTGTGTGTGTGTGTAACGTGTGTGTGTGTGTGTGTGTGCATATACATATATATACATATGATGGAATACAGGCACGTTACGAAGGAGTTCTTCATCGGATTAAGTGAAAATCATTTCAGGTTTTTCATCTGATCAGGATTCCACTCCACCTCCAACGGTTCCCCCTTCCCTCCCAAGGATTTCCCCTTCCCCAACTCCCCCCTCCCCCCTCCCCAGACCCCACCCTCCAGTCCAATTCCTCCCTCCCCTCCTTCTCCCTCCTACCCACTCCCCTCCCCCTCACCTATCCCTCCCAGTCTCCTTCTTCTATCCTTCTTCCCCCTCCCTTCCTCACTCCTCACTCCCCTTCCCCTCCCTCACCTCTTCCCTATCCTCCCCCCTTCCCTCCTACCCATCCTTACTCCCTCCCCTTCCTTTCCCCTCCCCTCCCTCCTCTTTCCTTCCCCCCCTCACCTCTTCCCACCCTTCCCTTTCCTCCCTCCTTCCTCCTACTACCCCCCCCTCCACCCTTACTCCCTCCTCCCTCCCTGTTAACTCCCCACTCCTCCCCCTTCTTTTCCCTCCTACCCTTCCCCTCCCCCTCCCCTTTCCTTCCCTTCCTACCACCACTCCCCTCCACCTTACTCCCTCCTCCATCCTCCCCTCCTCCTTCCCTCCTTCCCCCCCTCCCTCCCCTCCTTTCCTTCCCATCCTTCCCTCCCTCCTCCTTCCCTATTCTCCCACTCCCTCCCTCCCTCCCCCTCCGCCCTCCCTCCCTCCCTCCCTCCCACCCTCCCCCTCACCTCCGACGAGACGAGGCCAAGGATTCCCGTGAAGGTGCAGGTGTAGGAGGACGCCCACGCCAGCGCCTCCGCCCGGAAGGATCCCCGCGTCTTGAGGTCCTGCACGCCCAGGATCACCAGGTACACGCCCATCAGGAGGTCGGCGGCTGCGTGGGCGGGAGGGAGATGCTGAACGGCGGGCGTGGTAATATAGTAAGGATAGTAATGATAATAATAATGATAATGATATAATTACTTATTTATGACTATTATTATCATCATTATTACTCTATTATTATCATTATCGTCATAACTAATGTTGTTATTGCTATCATTATTATCATTACCATTATTACTATTGCCATTATTTTAATCATTATAATTATCATTATCATGATTATTATCATCCTTATAGTTGTCATCATCATTATTCTCATTATCATTATTTTTATTACTATTATCATTATCTTCCATCATTATTATTATTGCAATTATTCTTATCATCCGTCTTCCTCTTCTTTCCCCTTTCCTTCTGCTGTTTCTCCCCCCCCCTTCTTTCTATTTCTCTCACTGTCCCTCCTGCTCTCAATTTCAATCTCACTCTTGACACCCGTCACTGTCACCCTCTCCCTCTCCCTCATCCATCCTCTCTCTCCTATCAACCCCTGCCTTTTTTCTCTCACTTCCTCTCCCTATGCTTATCCCCTCTCCTTCTCCCTTCCGCTCCCTTAACCTCTCCCCCTCTTCTTCTCCATTTTTTCCTCTCATTCCCTTCACTTTCCACCCCCTTCCTTTCCTCCCCCCCCTTCCCTTTTCCCTTCCTCTCCCTCCTCCCCTTCACCCCATCCCCTCCTCCCTTCCATCACCCTTTCACCCCCCCTCCACTTCCCTTCCTTCCTCCCTTCCCCTTCCCCCATCCCCCTCGCCCTTTCTCCTTCCTTCACCTCCTCCCCTCCCTTCCACCACCACCTCCTCCCTCCCTTCCCCCATACCCTCCCTACCCCCTCCCCACCACCTACCTGCCAGATTCTTGATAAAGAGCTTCAGTATCTTGTTGTCCTCCTTGGAGATGGCGCGGCACCCGATCACGGCCAGGTTGCCGGCGAGGGTGAGGGCGGCGACGACCCACACAGCCACCCGCAGGACGACCCAGCCCATCATGTCACGCCCGTTCGAGACACCTGTGTGTGGGGGGGAGGGGGAGGAAGGTTGAATGGTGGGTGGTGGTGGGTGTGGGTGGATTGGTGGGTTTGGGGTAGATGTGGATAGGTTGGTGGGTGTGAGTATGTGTGGGTGGGTTGGTGGATGGGTGTGTAAATAAGTAGTAAGAGAGAGGGGCGTGTGAGTTTTTGGGGTAGATGTGGCAAGCCTTTCACTATGAGGATAGAATGGCAGTGAGAGGGCAACACGTATTTCTAAAATAACCCAGGTAGTTGTTGTCACATATGCAAAAAAGGTCGTTACTAAATCCCTAGGCTATCGTAAAAATAATCTAGTCGCATTTATTCCATCAGAGAATCAGCGTAAAAGTAACAAAGAAAGATTTCATGCACATTAAAATGATTGTAAATTTCTTCGCCTAAGAGTAAAGCAGCAGCATTCATTTACGAAAATAATCAAGCGAAATGTAGTAATACTGTAATTCACCGAAAAAATGCTCTTAATATAAACGTAGAAAAGCATCCTTTCATTCACAAAAAACTATTACTGCATAAGTGGCAACGCTACACTTCATTCATGGCACCAATTTTGCGTAAACGTAGTAAAGAAGCATTTCAAACACAAAACCTGTATGCGGAAAAGTAGTAATGCAACATTCCATTCACAAAACCAGTTAGCGCTATAGCAGCAAAGCAACACTTGATTCATAAAAAAACAATAGCGTAAAAGTGGTCATATAGCATTTCATTCTTGAAAACCTGTTAGTATAAATGCAGGAAAACATCATTTCATTCATAATCCTGTCAACGCTAAATTGACATTTCTTTTTTTCGATACTGATTAACAAAAAACAGCGTAACAGCATTTATCTTTTTTTTAAATCCTGTTGCCGTAAAATAGTATAGCAACACCTCATCAAAAAAAACTACACTCACCGTCTGTACTTGGGAGACACTGGAGGACCCGCGGCACGTAACTGCAGTACCGAAAGGTTTTGAAATACCTGGAGAACAGAAATGATCAAAATAAACAAGAGCACCAATAAGAATAGATAAAAAAATGTTATTCCACCCCCTCTTCCCCGACAAAAAACATACATTAGTTGCTGTTTACTTGTTTTATTTTGTTTCACGTTGTTTGTACGCTTTCATACGTACGCTAATTTCAGCTCTTCCATCGATAAGAAGTGTCGCTCGTCGATGTCCTGAAGGTCGAGGTCCATCAGGTTCCTGAAAGGTATTAAATGTATGAAGATATGATATGGGGTTCTGTAGAGGGTAGAGGGAGGGAGGAGATTGAGAGGGAGAGGGAGGAGGGAAAGAGGGAGACAGGGAGGGAGAGGGAGCGAGAGAGAGAAGAGAGAAAGAGAGGAGAGAAAGAGAAGAGAGAGAGAGAGAGAGAGAGAGAGAGAGAGAGAGAGAGAGAGAGAGAGAGAGAGAGAGAGAGAGAGAGAGAGAGAGAGAGAGAGAGAGAGAGAGAGAGAAAGAAAGAAAGAAAAGAAAAAGAAAAAAAGAAAAGAAAAGAAAGAACTGCAAAAAAAGGCAGAGAGAAAAAAAACAAGAGAAAAGAAAACACAAAAAAGAAATATAAAAAAAAACAAAAACCCCATTCTCACCAAACATGACCAACGCAAAACAATTCCCTCCTGAATGAGAAAGCAACAGAATCCTTCCACTCACAGGACGCGGAGAGCCTTCAGACCCGTGAAGATATCCTGCACCGTCGTCAGAGGGTTCCCGGATAGATCTCTGGGGGAAAGGACGCAGTTAATAGCATCCTTGTGGCTTCGAATTGCAATGAAAGTCAAATCATGCGAACTTATTTGCTGACATAGAGCGTTGTCTATACTTATTATCACTACAGCTGTTATTGTTATCATCGTTGTCATTATTTTCATTATTAGTAGTATCATTTTTGTTATTACTATTATTTCTGTTGTTGTTATCATCATCGTTGGTAACAGTGTGATTGATATGTTTATCATGATGACCATTATCATTATTATTATGATTATTGTTAGCATTATTATTATCATTGCTATTACCATTATCGTCATTATCAATATCATTATCACTGCTACTTCTGCCATCATCATTATTACCATCATTTCTATCATTAGCAATGCCATTAATATCGCAATAATCATTATTATTATAATAATAAAAAAAAAACATCAACAATACTAAGATTAACAATAATAAACAGTCTCGTAACCCTAGTAACAACAATAATAATAACAAAAATAACAGTAACAATGAAAAAAATATATGTAGGAAAAAATAATTTTATAAAACTCACACTGAGCGAAGGTGTATTAACGTGCTGAAAGCCTGGCAGCGAATCATACGGATCCTGTTGTTGTTGAGCTGTCTGGGGAAATAAATCGGTAAATCTGGGGAAGTAAATCAGTAAATCGGCAAATCTAGGGAAATAAATCGACAAATCTAGGGAAATAAATCGACAAATCTGGGTAAATACATCGATATATCTAGGGAAGTAAGTCGACAAATCTGGGGAAGTAAATCGGCAAATCTTGAAAACAAATAGGCAAATAAGGGTGATAAATCAGTAAATCTAGGGAAAATAATCGGTAAATCTTGGGAAATAAATCGATAAATCTAGGGAAATAAATCAATAAATCTAAGAGAAATTTATCGGTAAATCTGGGGAAAGGAATCAGTAAATCTAGGGGAAATAATAGATAAATCTGGGGAAATGAATATGCAAATCTCAGGAACAAATCGGTAAATCTGAGTAAATAAGTCGGCAAATATACCTTGGGTCATAAATCTGGAGAGTGAGGAGGGAGGGAGGGAGGAGGAGAGAGAGAGAGAGAGAGAGAGAGAGAGAGAGAGAGAGAGAGAGAGAGAGAGAGAGAGAGAGAGAGAGAGAGAGAGAGAGAGAGAGAGAGAGAGAGAGAGAGAGAGAGAGAGAGAGAGAGAGAGAGAGAGAGAAAGAGAGATACAGACAGGAGAGAAAGAGAGAGAGAGAGAGAGAGAGAGAGAGAGAGAGAGAGAGAGAGAGAGAGAGAGAGAGAGAGAGAGAGAGAGAGAGAGAGAGAGAGAGAGAGAGAGAGAGAGAGAGAGAGAGAGAGAGAGAGAGAGAAAGAGAGACAGGAGAGAGAGAGAGAGAGAGAGAGAGAGAGAGAGAGAGAGAGAGAGAGAGAGAGAGAGAGAGAGAGAAGAGAGAGAGAGAGAGAGAGAGAGAGAGAGAGAGAGAGAGAGAGAGAGAGAAAGTAGGGAAGGCAGATGAACATAGACAATAAATTTTCGAAGATTAACAGAAAATATTAATGCGATTTATCAAAAAATAAAAAATAAATAGTGGCTGAAACACTGAATCATAAATACATTTGTGTTTTATTCAGTGCACTCGAAAAACTACTTAAAGGGCTCTTGTTCAATTTCATTTCGTTCTGTACAAAAACTAATAATAAAAATAACAACAATGATAAAAAATAATAATAATATAAATAACAACATGAGTAATTAGGATACTAATAAAAATAATGCTTATAACAATAATGATAATGATGATGACGATGCTGATAATAACAATTATAATAATAATAATAATAATAATTATTATTATTATTATTTTTATTACTATTATTATTATTATTATTATTATTATTATATAAATAATGATAACGAAAGCTACAACAATAATAACAATAATAATGATTATAATACTAGTGATACCTGGGACAAAGATGATAATAATAAAAAAAATCAATAACAAATGATAATAATAGTGATACCCATGCCAAAGATAATAATGATAGTAATAATAATAGTAATCATCATCATCATAAAAAACAATAATAACAATGATATTGATAACAAAAATAATGATTGTAATGATGATAATAATAACAACAACAATGATAACCATAGGCATAATACTTATAATAAACATAATAACAAAAAACAATAATGAATAATGAGCACATACCTCCGCCATGGCAATAGGGTCACTGATACAATGAAAATATTCATACTTGAAGAAGTACATTACAATCACCCTTTTGCCAAGGAGACAGGGGTAACTGATGCAATTATTTTTAAAAATTCCTGGATCACCCCCAAAATTTAATGACATCTAAGTTAGGCTAAGCCACACCTCCAGTAAAAAAAAAATCGAAAAAACCTGTTCACACTT